TAAACCTAATTTGGAGTCGGAGTTAATTTGCCAAAATCGTGATTACCTATCTTTAGGCATATTACTGAGAGTACTCATGTCAATTGTTTAGTACCATGGAGAATTCACTGACAGAATTTTCTATTGAAGCCCAACGTGGACAAAAGCCTCTGAATTCGAACAATCAGTAGAGGTGAGAACTGACGTGAAGTCTGAATCCGGCATTGTCGAAGGTTTCCCGAGCATGAACATTTCTCCAGGTCGAGACCCCTACACTGTTTTTACGTCTTTTCTCGTCTCACGTCTTGTTAGCGGTTATTACCCTGTTCTTACAGACGCTTGCATTCTACCACGTTAATGATGTAAAAATACATACATCTGAACAACAGCTGAAGGATCTAGGATCACATTTTTAAAAATCGGCCTTTGGGCCCTCCGTGTGGATCCAAATTCATATTGATATCGATTTTACTAAATTAAGCGCCACCGCGTTTATCATTTCGTTTTTGCGACTACAGTGCGGCGCTCATTTGATGCACCAGCCTACCGCGGACAGTTTTGTTGAGCCACTCAGAGAGGATCTTATTGCTTTTATATGTCTGCATACCGAGATGCTATGACAAAGAATATAAAGACCGCAAATACTTCACAAATCTTATGAAAAAAATACAAAAACAAAAAACGAGCGAGATTGCATGCGAGTAAACAAAGATCTGGTACAAATTTCCCTAAAACAGTCAAATATAACAATATAACAAGCTTAACAACTTGACAGGCTAACGGTTTTATTCGGTGGTGGTATAAAAAAGGTTACAACCGAACACTGTCAGGCTACCCCTGGCTACTCAGTCACTTCACTCGCTGTCCATCACGAAATTGATAGAGTACAGCATTACCAGCATAGCACTAGCACTGTATATGGACAATCAGATTTGTGATCGAAGGCCGGTAGATTTATACATCTTAGAATTTATACTAATATCAAATTCCTAAAGGTGTCCGGACACTAACTTAATTCAATGTACATTTCACAGCTGATTTCATTTTTTTAAGGGCAAAAAACAATTTACTTGATAAGAATTTATAAGTACGAGACTTATTGTGGCGTAGACGTAATTAACGGATTGTTGATTTTACTTCTTTGAACTCCAGTCCACATTTTCTTAATTTTTCTTTAAGGACTACCGTGTACCCTCGTCCCATATAGTGTAAAGGTGAATGTGTGAAGGACATTCTAGCTACAAAATGTAAATTCTTCCACCTGTCACAAGACAGGAGAAGCATTGTTCTCGTTAATGTTATCTGTAAAACAAAATGTTCGTTAGAGCGCGATTGAAGTATGTCGAATAGCCTCTTCCAGACGTTCAGACTGTGGGGGCGACCCTCCAAGGGATGCCAGTAAGAAAAGGGCGAAGGGGTGGGGTAGGGAGAAATGCGTATTTTTCCTGACCCACTCTACTAATAAGAAGGCCAACTACTGGGAGTCGAACAAAGGACGGCCGGCCGAGACTATTAATACGAAGGTCAGTGGAAAAGTAAACTTAAACTTCTATAAGCTTAACCTATTTACGATTTTTCTTGTTGATAAAGTAAAAAAAAAGAAACAAAAAAACAAGAAAAAAAAAAAACAGAAAAATTGTCTTTTGTAGGATCACGAAGAATTTTTTTACTGTCACTGCGGCCCGTGTCACGCCACGCGAATTCAGCATCAATATGCAAATTTAGGTCGAATCCTTCAATTCTGAATCGCGTTGTGCCACAAGTTTTATTGCATAACTTGACAAAATAGCTATTAATCTTTAACTAAAACATGTTTTTAGTTCTAGTTTAGGTGCCACTTTTGAGAATTTTGAGATGTTTTTGAGGCATTTATTCGTGCATCTTGCTTTCTTAATTGGGTTAGTGAAATAAAGACGACCAGTTTTTGCTGATTACAGAAAGATAATGCCTAAATGGTATTGGAACAGTAAGAAGAAGTAATACGCTTCCAAATGAGTGCAATAGTCTAGGATTTGATGACCCGAAGTACTTTTAAACGATCGTTAAAAAACCTGTAAAACGGCATCTAAAATTTGCATATTTTAGCCGCTAACGGTCGTCCAGCAATGAAATGCTGGGAATGGCAGTAAAATAAACAATTTCCTCATTCTAACTGCAGTTTCGTTATTAGGATGGATAGTAGTGTTGATGATAAAAATATGAGGCAAAAGTTTTTGCGAGTCCAAAATCGAGTGGAACGCTTTTAGGGAGACTGCCTCTTAATTTTGCAATTAAACAAATCAAAAACTACTATTTTTGAACCAGAATATCAGAACGTGTTGCGTCGCGTAGAATTCCCGGTCCATTGAGGTCAACAAATAAATTTCCTGTCCGGGTGGGGGTTAGTATTTTGCTGTTTTTATCCGTGACACTTCTAAATGAAGCATACATGACGTAAAAACAACAAAACGGTCAAGGAGTACTGGAAACAAGTTTGAAAAATAAAAAAAATGGCGGCCGAAACGCGGAGAATTTGTTTTGT